GAAACTTGAAGTTCTTTAGTTAAAACTAATGTCAATGCTTCAATACGATTTTCTAATTTCGTTCTGTAATATTTAACTTATTTATCTTTTACTATTATAAATTATGTATGATATTTTTAATTTTGTCAGTATACTTATACAGGTTTTAGTAATATTTATTTTTATGAATGAATATTACATTTAATTAATTCATTTAAATTTAAATATTACATTTTTGCAAAATAATATAGCTAATATACATTGGTTATTATGTCTAGTATTTTTAGACTTAAGCCATATTTTTTTTTAGTGAAGTGATTAAATTATTTTGCCATTCCCTTAAGAAGTAAAATATTGTACTGCATATATAGCCTCAATGTTACACATTATGAAACATAACAAATATAACAAATAAATGTGCTGGATTCTTATTTCTTTTCTTTTTTATATAATTAATATAAGAGTAATTATACTTAAATTTGCTCTAATATTAACCTTATAAGAAGTTATAAGTTTTAAGAATCTAGTATATAAATGTGTTTTTAATTAAATTAGTTACTATCTAAGAATATAATAGTGATTACTAAAAATATTACTAAAAACAATATACTTTATTTCTTGTTCAATTGATGTTGAAATTTTATCACCATGTTCTTCTAAATACTGTCTGGCTTTACTTATCAAAGAATTTGCATCTTCAAAATGTCTTTGAGCAATTAACACGTCTAAATCATCTGCTAAATCAACTATCCATTCTGGTAATTCTGGTTCTGGTGTTTCAGATTCAAATGCTAAAATGGTAATAAACTTATTAGTAAATGTGTTTAATCATAATAATATTTAAAAATATAAAAACATAACATAAAGATTATAGTACTCAGAAAATGTTAATAATCTGACAAGAATAGTTATCAGTGTTCTAACTGTAAAATATGGAAAATAATTTAATAAGCATTCATACAAGTCCATACACACTACAACACAGGTGGTAAAATTCTATTTTCTTGTGAATGAGACTAAAAGATAAATCTATTGGTTTTCTACAAATAAAGTGTTGTTGATTAGGTCCCCAAAATATAATGTTTATACCAAAAAAGAACTAATAATTAAAGGTACATGTTTTAATGAAAATTTAAGGCGAATTGATTTTTTTTTTTACTACATATTGTTATTATGAATCTTATCTTTAATATTCTTTAATGCATATCATGTATTTTAATATTACATTTAAGTTAAGAATTTATTTTCTATTTTAGGATATTTTAAGAATCATAATAAAAAGTTAAGTCTATAAATAGTTTAAAATATTTTGAAAATTATACCGTGTTTAAAAAATGGTGATATAAACATTTGATGAAAATTTCAATTAGGTACAGCAATTTTTTTTTTAAATACAATAAAATAAAGTTTGGTAAAAATTAGTTGTTTTTTTTTTTTAGTTACGGTAGAGCTTAGAAAATCCAAATTTAGTGTTGTTTGGATTAACAATTTCCTAGATTACTAAAATTTTTTTAAAAGTACTAACTCAAATGACTAAGAAATTTTATTCTATCGTCTTTAGTTATTAAATTTATAAATTACAATTTTTTGATCAAGTACAGCCAGTACAGGATTTAATAAATTATAACTTGTAGCCTGATGTGGTGCCATGGTTGGACTGTCACTAATGTGTTCTAAGATCAAGCATCAGCCGGCGTCACTAGCTCTCTGATGGGTGACCACCCAAATTCTTAGTGATGAATCCATGATGCACACACATAAACACACGTGTTTCAACCGTACAAATCAAACTTTACAAATTTTACACAAAAAAAAACCTATTATTCCTATCTACAGCTAATAGCCTTGGTTTAAGTAAGATCAGTTAAAAAAAAATTTATAATTTATTGATGAATGAAGAAATCAGAAATTTTTTCATGTAGTATACTCAATTTTCAATTAAAAAATGTGTTCAATGATTTGATGTAGTAACAATATTTCACAACTTTCCATATTTTTATCTTCTACCCATTACATTCCAATTGTTTTTTAAATAAATATGTTGTAAATTAATTATATTCAGGTAATTTAAAAAAAATGACCTATTTACACGTTGCCTGGATTATCATGTTTAATAAACTACCAAAATTTTACTATATTTTTATACTATCTCATTTGATCCCCAAAAATATTAATTAGAAACAATTTTCTACCAGAAACCATTCTCTAAGTTAAAAAAAATCAAAGTATATTTACTGTCCCAAAAAATGAAAAAAAAAAACTCATAATTGTAAAATCAATAATTTCATTGTTTTACTTAAATCTAAAATATAAACAAAATAAGATTAGCTAGGTAAAAATGGTAAATATTTTTAGGTAAGCTTAGCTAATTATAACTAATTCACATCATATTATATTATGTTTTTAAAATATATACTTAATTTTAAATTAAGTCAACTTTAATTCTTACAGTTATGAACTAATTGAATGGAATCTGTTCTTTGGATCATTTTATGGTCAACAGTAGTTTTCATTTTGTTTTCAACTGAGTTTTGTGAATTTTTAGCGACTTCAAATTTTGATAACCAATCATTCTATAAATAGTAATAAAATGTTTAATTAATTTTATAACATTGGAAATCACTAACCTTAAGACCAGTATTTGGTGCTTGAAATACTCTTGTTTCCGGAAAAGCAAGCAATTTAAAAGAATTTTTAATATCTTTAATATTTACAACAGCAAGATTACATAAATCATACATTGACTGAAATCTATATCTAGCTGGTCCTCGTCTAAAATTGAATAAGTAAAATTTAAAAAGTCTATTATATTACATGCTATGAACTATAATTACTAATTACCTGCTAGACAACCAACTGGTAACAATACAAATATCAGTAAATAGATAACAATGAATTCTTTGGACTGGTGTATTTTCAATAGGATCCAATTCTAATAAATCTCCCTCATGCAAACACTTACGGTCAGAAACATCAATTAAATTCTAAAAGCAAACTCATTTCATATACTATTACCAATATTACTACTTGAAAACTATATCATCTGTAGATAATACTAACATTACAATTTTCTACTCTTTCCATAATATTTAACAATTTGTGAACTCTTTTTTCTTCAACTAAATTATCTACTTCAGAATTTTGAACACCATTCACTTCTTTGCCAGAATTAGAAATTTGTTCACTAACAATTGAAGAACTAGCCAATGAATTGAGTAATGATGCTTGTTCAGTTAACAAATGTGACAATTGATACATTTCACCTTCTAAATCTATAATATAAAAAAATATGATTATAATTTAAATATAATAATTTTTTTTTTTTAAAACTTACTAGCTATTTCTTTAGCAGTATCAATAAATTGAATATAATTGTAGAACACATTTTTCTTGAGCATTGTGTTAATTTGCTCACCCAAAGATTGTACGTTAGTCTTCTGTTGTAACAATTCTTCAGGACCCATACACCTCTGAGATAATTCTTTGACATCTAAATTAATACATGAATCATACATGAATATGTTTTGCTACCTGAAAGTGTTACATTATACATACATTTTTCGGGTTGATAATCACTCTCACCGACACTTTTTATCAAAGAATCCATATTGATAAAAATTATTTAAAAATAAGTATGAAGATATTTGTGCAAAATATAAAAATAATTGCACAATAGTGACAATAATATTGTTATACTATAGTCTGATATATTATAGTAATAAACTTTTATTAGACAATAGTGACAATACTATTTTATAAATTTTTCTTAATGAAGTGTAAATTATTATTAATCAAATCATTAACTTAAAATTATATTTATGTGGCATACTACAGCACTCATAACTTGTAGTGAGTTCGTTAGTCCGTATCCTTAATAAGGATTGAGTAGTGAGAAGTGAATACTGAATAAAGTAGAAGTGAAAAGTGATGTGTTTTGTGTATATGTAAAATGATAAGAGTTAACAAGACAATAAATTGATACTGCATCTCAAGGTCAGAACCATAGATAATATATTATCTATGGTCAGAACACTCAAAACACCTAGTACTAAATAGATAACAGATTATTCTCAATTTATTAAATTGCGTTACTGTACTGTAGGTATTTAATTTTTACTTTTTTATCTAAATAATAAAATAGACAAATTAAATTAATTTAATAGTGTAATTAAAATTACTTGTCAACATTTAAACATGTAAAAATCAAAATAACAATTTACATAGGTAATTTTAATTCATATTTCATGTTTTTTATATACTTATGCAATGGAATTACATAGTAACATTATTATAACTACCTTGATACTTACATAAAATATTATCTAAGACAGTGAGGTAAGTAATTATGTATTCAAAACACATAAGTGCCTGCAGGAAATTTTTTTAGGAAGCAAATAATGAAATAAAAATATATTTAATAATAAACCTTTACCAATTTAATGTCTATATAAATAATAATAAAGGTTAAAATTTTCAAAATTATATTTGAAGTCCAGGGGGTAGAGAGCAAATGCCCTGCTTCCTCCTTCTGGGCACCATTTCAAAATACTATTATAAATAATATAAATAATAAATACTGTAAAAACTAATAAAGTAATCTCTGTCAAATAATTGAATTGTAATTAAACAAATGTTCTATCTTGAGTATAATGTATTGGTTAGATATTTAGACCAAACAGTTTGGTTCTCAATTTTTAAACAGTTTATATTTTTTTTAATAATTATATAAAACTTGAAAATCTACTCAATAAAACAACAATTTTTTAAATTTTATTAAGAACAAATTTTTAGAAACTGTATTACAATACATAAATCAAAATTATAAACTTAAAAATATTAATAAATTTGTCAATATTAATCTAATAAAGTAAAAATATCAAAATTTATCATTCCATGTTTACACCATTGATAATAGATAGAATTTAAAATAAATAACAGATTTTTAAAATATATTTTTTAACCATTTGATGACAATTTTAATAATAAAAATAATTTTGTTTAAACTTATAGTTGAAATATATTTATTCATCATTAACTTTGTCTGATATTTCAGGGTTATTTATATATATGTTATATGTTAATGCTGTTGCTAATGACAACCAACCTAAGTATGGAATCATAAAATAACTAGCCACCTTGTTTATTTTATGAAATGTTACAATGCAACCAGCTACATTTGCCCACAAAACACAAATTTCAACTAAACTCTGAAATAAAAATAAAGATTTGTTAGAATTATTTAAAATTATAGAATACAGTAATCAATTTTAAAATGTTATTAGTATACCCATTTTAACTGATGAAACTCAAAGAACAAAGGTGACCATGCCCAATTCAAAATTAATTGTGATCCGTACAATGCCAAAGGAATTTTTGCGTCACCTTAAATTTTAAAATTATCATTAATATAACTTAAGCTTTTGTATTATCATTAGATATTATCTTACCATTAAATCCACCTCCACTGCGGTATACCATGTATGACGCATATCCCATTCCTAAATACAAAGTAGTCCAAACTGGTGCAAACATATAATTTGGAGGTCTCCAGGATGGTCGATTTAATGTCTATAACAAGAATATATATTAAACTAAATCAGAAATCTTATGTGTTGAATAAAATATTGAAAAATAAAATTTATAATTACCTCATACCATCCTTTAATATTTTTGCGAACAAAAATACCTCCAATGAAACCACCTATCATAGGAGTTATTGTGAATGTTATAGGAATCCAAGGTATTGTGATTTTGCACATTATTTAAGGATGTTAATTTAATAGTACCTATATTAAGTAATATGGAATTATTATTTAAGTTGATTAAATTTGTAAAAATACAATTTTATTTATTCACTAATTACACGTGTCATAGTAAAAAATGAACATATTGAATAATATTAAATAATTAAGACGGAAGGTACACTAGGTATCTACCTAGGAACTACAGAAAATATTCAGTCTTCAGAGATATAAAATTATACCAGATAGCCGCCTTATCATTATTTAGTGAAAATTCAAAACAATGAAATGGTCAAATGGAGTTCATTAAGAAGTATAGAGTATCTTATTAATTGGTGCCATATTATGTTCAAGTGTGTACTCTTGAGTGATAATCTTAGTAAATAAATTTTATCTGTATGTATAAACAATACTGTGCATTTTGAATTATGATCAGTCCTTACTTCAAGATTTTCAATAAGATGATAATGGTGGAGGGGAAAGTAGAAAGTAGATAACAGCTCTAATTTATCTACCTACGTGTTATTATTCTCATTGAGTTGTTCGTTGCAATGACTAATTGATTCAATAGTTTAAATTTAGTTATCAATATTTACGTACCTATAAAAAAACGATTCTTAGCGGATACAGTATGAGTTTTACCTTATAGCTGTCTTGTTAGCCTAAATAAATTATTACCTATTAGTTATTATAGAACCTAATTTGTTTTGTATTAATAATACCTTTTTATATAAAATATAAATTATAAATAGACACAAAAATCTAATCCAATATCCATTGTCATAAATATTTCAACTTCAATAATTGTACATAGAAAATTAATTTGGTTTACAGATACATTTTTTTTATATAGATAGTAAAACTTATAAAGAACTGTGTATTTAATTTTCAAATTGAAGATATAATAACAATTTTTTTTTTTTAATTTTTAACTATAAAATAACTAGGTATAGTATATTTTTGAGATTTTGTTAAAATTTTTACTTTTTACCAAATTAATAATTTTTGGAAAATAACATGAAAAAAATTACCCATGTCTTTAAATAGTTTAAAAGAGTTGAAATATTTTGAAAATGTTATTGTAAATAGTAAATAATAATATTACAAGTACAAGCGTCTACTAATATTCGTTTTCAAAAATTAGATTTGCATATAAATTCTTGTTTTCTATATTTTTGTGTTCCCAATTATTTTGAAAAATATTGAGAATTTTTAATTTTGAACTTTCTAAAATACAAAGTAGATCCAATTTGATGTTCAAAACTAACTTATTCAACGTTGAAAAACGGAGCATTTTATAGACTACCTACTTATTGTATATAAATAAACACACAAATACACATACACTCTACAATTCTGCATACACACAAAGAAAACATCATTATAAAATCAATACATTTATCACTTCAATCAGAATCTAAAACTGTCAGAGAAAATAGGAAAAATAATGTGATAATTATAAAGTATGGAATAAATGTACTTTACTTTTCCCCTAACAGTTATAATCGAAAAGTTGTATTAATAAACATTTTAATATTATAATAATTAATATGTAGGTAAATAATAAGTATATACCTATTTGTTAGTTCACCAGACTAACCCAAGGATATGTATTTATAATCAGTAACCAACCATAGACAAAGTATTTTTCCTCTCACCTTATAAAATGGATTACTTACAGTTTACATCACTATAGGACCGAATACAATGTAACGAGAGATTTATAGTTTTTTTATTAACGAAAAGCGTAGCTTAGCTTCTGATGTTTACTGTAAAAATAGTGATTTTGTAATAATAATTGTAATATAATATATTAAATTTTTTTCACAGACACTGCTCAAAAAATATATGAAATTTGTATGTAGGGGTGCTAGGATAATGTATGCGAGTATAGTTCATTCACATTTCACATTGAATGTATCTTTACGGTATGTTTCTTTGATTATTTCTTATTATTTATCAGTCTCTAGAAATTGTACGTTTCTATTACAAATTTAAGTTGTACTTAATTAAATCAATAATTAATTTTACAAATTATAAAATCTTTCATTATTGGTATAATGTATGAGGTTTGATGTAATAATGTAAACCCATTATTAAAAATATTGTTTAATCAATCAACAAGTGGTTAACGAAGTAAAATTGCGAAAAATTAAGAAAGAAACAAGCAATACAAATGCCGCATTTAAACATTTTGTGCAGCGGTGCAAAAAAAAAATTGGCGCTCATCTAAGAGGGACCTATATTCACAAATAATATAGATGATAGATCTTCATAAACCTTTAAGATTTTGAACAAAAAAAAAATAAAAAAATACTAAGTGTTTTTTTTAAATATTGTTTAATAAATGCATTTTGAATTTTTCCCTCCCCTCGGCCACTCCACAAAAGATATTTTTGAATGTTTATTACTTGAACCCTGCTTATTATTCATTTTATAAGTTGTTTTTTGTGTTCTATCAAAGTTTGCTTACAATTTTTATATTCACTTAACTTTTTTTTTTCGGTCATAATTAAAATAATATAAAACAAATATAATAATAAATAAATAATCAACAGCGCCATCGAGTAGTAAAAGAAATAGTACGTACTACGTAATCACATTGGCATCGTTCACAAGTACTGTGGCTTTAAACTTTAAAGTTCGAGTTTGTTGATTATAATAACACTAATAACAGTAATAAGCTTCAGGGTTGAGATTTTATGGCATTTGCATATTTCTTATGAGATGCTTAAGAAATAGCAGAGTAAGCTAAAAATGTATTTTATGATACATACAATAAGAACTCAAATCAAAAATTGTATTTTTCAATTTTTTTGGATTTTAGTGCTATTTTTGGACTTTTTGCATTTTTACTTGTTTGTGAACCAAAATTGGTCATATTCTATGAATTATATTTCAGTAAACGTTTCTTTAGATTATTGTCAATTGAATCGTCATATTATCAGTGCTCGAAATGGACCGGAACGCACCGGAACGCAGTTCCGGTTCACGACAAAAAAATTTTTAGCGTTCCGGTTCGTAAAAAAAATACGTTTATCGTTCCGGTTCAAACAAATTTTTACTGTACCTACCACATTTTTGTAAAATTTAAACATTTTGCAGAATTGTGCATAGTAAAATATTTAATAAGCGACAAACGACTGCGACGCATTAGTAAATTTATTGCTTATCTTTAGATAATCGTCGTCTGCCGATAGTGTAGTTACTAGTTTGTCGGCTACAACACGATTGAGCATAATATTGTCCATGTATGCTATTCTGAGAGAAGGTTCGCCAACAATCTTCAAACAAATTATTATATTTTAGTTAAAAAGTGAAAAGTAGTAAATACTTTGTTGTATAATTATTTCTTACTTTTCTCCACCATGATTGTCCTAAATGAAATCTACATCCAATTATTTTAACATTTCCAAACACGTCTGTAATTGCCTGATGAGCTGCAATTTCAAAATCAACATGAAATGTGTTGATTTGCAAATTTTTGTTGCATAATTTTAAACATAAATCATTTAAAAACTGCCACATTTTAATATAAGTAGACCTAGTTTTATTTTGTAAAAAAAAAGTAAACAAGTGGTAAGTAGTATCCATTTTTATATCCATGTATTGTGTACAATTGAATAAAATATTTTGGAGCATAATTAAATGTACCATCACCAAAATACTCGGTACAATTATTATTTGTCATAAATTGTATATTTTGTTCCGTAGTTAGACATACAAAATTATCACCAGTCGGCATGTAAATGAATTGTTGACCCTTATATCATAGGGTCGATGGCCCTATGATATGCTATTTTAAAACCGATTGTCCGACAGTAAGAAACGAATTAGTAGGTCAACGGCCCTAACAATCACGTATCTTTACGGAATTATAACCGCCGTAAAGATTACGTATAGATATTGCCCTATCTCAGGTGATATAGGGTCATTGGCCACTAATTTCGAATAGCGTTTAGGCTCACGGCTCGCGTCAGATATAATAATAATTGGTGTAATACGTAATACGTGAAAATAATTTTCTGAGTGGCAGCAAACTATGTGTTCATATTGATACCTACTCGTATGTTTTGATTAGCGCTTAGTATCGTTTAAACTGCAGTAATACATGTATTATATTTTGCCGATCATTAATTACATTAGTTTATAGCGTGTATTATTCCGTGCGAAAAATATGAGTTCTTCTTTACTAAATTGGGTAAATAAACGTTCTAAGTCCAATGATGAATGTAATAATTCGTCAAATAAAAAACTGTGCGTTGAAAGTGAACATATATTATCTAATAAAGAATCAAATAAAAATATGGAACTTCAAGAAACTAGTGACTTGCCCGAATGTTGGAATAAAGGTCAGTACGAAAATTTCAAGACTGTAAATGAGTGGCTAGTAGTTAAAAATAAAGCATTAGGTTGTTTAATTTGTAAAAATATAACAAATTTAGGATTATCTGTTGTTGATAAAACTCTTCGCTTTTCCAAACCTTGGCAAGACTGTTCTATAATTTCGAATGGAAATTCAAAAGAAACTCAAATGTCTAGTTTGAGAAAAAAAATTTTTGAACACAAAAAATCTGACGCCCATCTTAGAGCAGTAGAATTACATAAACAATCAAAAGAAAAACAAATAGAAAAAAGTTTCGAAAATGCATTTAAATCAAAGTTCTCTACTACTGAAAAAGTTTTTAGAACTGTTTATAAAATTGTAAAAACTCAAAGGCCTTTTGTTGATTTACCAAATGAAATAGATTTACAAGTATTAAATGGTATAAATATGGGAAACATTTTACATACCGATAAAACGTGTGCGGATATAGCACTCCACATTGCATCAGAGATGAAAAAAATTATTTGCCAAAATATAATTTTAACTAAAACAAAAATATCTATTTTAATCGACGAATCAACTACTCTTAGTAAATTAACAACATTAGTAGTTGTTGTTCGTGCATTTATTGAAGATTTTCCCGGTGAACCTTATACTTTTAATCTTGACTTAATTGAACTCCCTAATACCTCTGCTGAAATTATTACTAAATCATTACTTGATTGTTTGGGTGGATACGGATTTGATCAAATTTTTTTAAATGAATGTTTTATTGCGTTTGCATGCGACGGAGCTTCTGTTATGATCGGAAAAGATTCGGGAGTAGCCACGCGACTTAAAATTCAATTTCCTAAATTAATTATTTGGCATTGTTCAAATCACCGTTTGGAACTGGCAGTAGGTGATGTTGTTGCCGAAGTTTGTGGTATAAACCATTTTAAAATATTTATGGATAAACTTTATACTTTATTCCACCAGTCACCTAAAAACCAAAACGAGTTAAAAAAATCTGCTAGTTCATTAGAAGTACAAATTTTGAAAATTGGTAGAATTTTGTCAGTTCGATGGGTAGCATCAAGCAAACGCACAGTTAA